CTGCAAACATGAAACAAACACACTTTCTATGTTACTTGAATATTTTCCTCCTGGGAACGCCACACCTGCCACTTAAAAGCAGCAAATGTAAAAACGGTTATTACATGGCTAAATCACCATATGGCATCAAAAGCAAAACAGACAAAGGAAGTTTGTGACCCATTTTCAACCTTCAGCTTACTGTAATTGTGGTGAGATTAGTGCATAGCAGAGAAAATGTTGGGCCTGCACTTTTAGAAATTTTGCTGCGTTAGCAACAGTTGAGCTTTGCCACTCTGGCTGACGTTCCCCAGTTCCCTCTCATTCCTCCATTTAATAATACGATGATCAGTCTACATATAGTGTATGCAGCTCTTATATCCTCTATTATTATTAATTTTTAAATTCAATAGTCAGTATGTACTGTAGACCCAGAGTGGCGGAGATCAATGGTTGATGTAGCTTAGCTTAGCAATAAGAAATCTGTTCTGTTTCATGTCACATGTTTGGGGGGAAAAATACTAATGATGAAAGTACAGCTTTAAATAAGCTGTGATGCGGTGATGCACACTACTCAGAAAGAGATTTAATTACAAAATTCAAGAACATTCAACATAATTCACTGTCTGAGAGAACTAGAAAATCTTCAGTCAACGCACCTTGGTTTTTTTTTAGTGTTATTTAGTCAGCATGACTCACCCAACAGTTTAAAAGACCAATCACTGAGTGGAGCAAATGCTAATTTTGCCCTGCACACACTTTAGTCTTTTCAAATGACTCCAATTTGAAAAATAAGAATAATTTTTAAAAATAAAAGTGAAATTGACTTTTTCACCTTTTAACCACGTTGTAAAGTTGTAAACACAACATTGACAAATCCCTTTTCAACAGACATCTCTAGCAGGCTAATAAATAGTTTGTTTAAACTTCATACAGTAAAAGCTCAGCTCATATCTGCTAGGTGAAGTGTAACGCCAACTGTCTGACTACTTGTACCAACTGTGAGGCAGGGTTAATTTTTGTAACTGGGTAAGTTGTTTTCTTGGAACCACGCATTTCATTACATCATTTTAAATCTAGGCTGTAATACCTTTCCTTTTCATTATATTGACAGTTTTCATAATACAGATTGATGATAAACCAAAACATAAAGCCAAAGGAACTCAGGAGTTTATAAAAACAAAGAAGTGGAATATTCTTGATTCAGTTCAAGATTCAAGGTCTTTATTGTCAAATGCCATTTCACCCCAAGCCCCCCATGGGCCATTTATAAGAATATAAAAAATATATCTCCAAGAGATATAAAACTAGAAATTACAAATAAATATTAACTCGTTAAATTTGGGTAAAATTAAGGAATAAAAATGTACTACTACTAACTATATCTATGTACAATAAACAAAGAGAGGACAGAGACAATATGAAGTGGTCATGTGCAATTACAGTAAAATGAGATGATTGTGCAGTAGTTATTGTATACCAGGTTCAAGTTATGGTCAGGATATTGTAGATAAGACGAAGACATGTGCAAGATGCAAAATGTGCAAATGTGTTCACTAACTATGTGACTGAGTATGCAAAATAAGCATATTGTTCCTAGGTCGAGTTTGTAGTGCATTTGTGGAAGTTTGTGTTGTTTTTGAGTCTTTTGGTGAGTAGTGTATTGTAAGGTCTTTGTAAAAGTGTTTTTCAGTCCTTTGGTGGTAGTGAGTTGAGGGCTCTGACTGCTTGGGGGAAGAAGCTCTCGCAGTGTCGGGCCGTTACGGTTTTAATGCTGCGAAACCGTCTGTCAGATGGAAAACTGTCTGCCACCCCTCACTTTCCAATGTGAGGGGTGGAAAGTGTCCTTCAATATGCTGTTTGCACGTCGGATGATGTGTTTGTCGTAGAGTTGGGAGAGGGCCTCCAATGATCCTCTCTGCTGTCGTCACTATCCGCTACAGAGGCTTCTTTTCAGCAAAAGTGCAGTCCCCGTACCAGATAGTGATGTAGCAGCAGAGGACGCTCTCAATGGTTCCCTGGTAAAATGATGGGAGGATGGGAAGAGGGAGACTGGCCTTCTTCAGTTTCCTAAGAAAGTGAAGTCGTTGTTGGGCTTTCTGCATGATGGTGGTGGTGTTCAGGTTCCAGGAGAGGTCATCTGATATGTGCACACCCAGGAACTTCATACTGTTGACCCGTTGATGTGCAGTGGGGTGTGGGCCATTGAGCTCTTCCTGAAGTTAACAACCATCTCTTAGTCTTCTGAACATTTAGAGTCAGGAAAATTCTTGAATGGCCAAGTTAGTCACCTGATCTTAACCCAACTGAGCATGCATTCACTCGTTAAAGACTAAACCTCAGACAGATAAGGGGCCCACAAACAAACAGCAACTGAAAGCTGCTGCAGTAAATGCCTGGCAGAGTATTAAAGAGGAAACCCAGCATCTAGTGATATTCACGAGTTCAAGACTTCAGGCTGTCATTGTCAGTAAAGGGTTTTCAACCAAGTATCAGAAATGAACATTTTATTTTCAGTTATTTAATTTGTCTAATTAGTTTTGAGCAACTGAAATGAAGGGATTGTGTTAAAAATGCTTTAGTTACTCACATTTTTATGCAATCTTTTTGTCCAACCCACTGAATTAAAGCTGAAAGTCTGCACTTAAACTACACCTGAGTTGTTTCATTTAAAATTCATTGTGGTAATGTACAGAAAAACGTTGTCTGTCCAAATGTTTATGGATCTAACTGTACATACACAAATGAACCCATGTATAGGTAATAGTAAACAGTAATATATATACAGTAATATATACAATGATAAAATCTGTTTTGAATTGTGTTTGTTCCTGTTCCGATACATTCTCTGTTTAGATACAGATGGCATCAGTTCAAAGAGTTGTTATACTGAGTTGGATGAGTCTGTTGAGGCGGTGGGGGCTGTAGATGTCTCAAGAGGGGAAGTGGGCAGTTGAAACATTTTTGACAGTGTAAATGACCCTCTGAAAACTCTCCTGTTTCTCCTGAGGTGCAGCTGGTTAACTATGCAGAGATGCAACCTACAGAATGCTCTCAAAGGAACGTCAGCAGAAGAAAACCTGTGGGGTTTTTTTTTTGTTTATTGGGTCTTTCAAAGAATTCTCAGAGGACAGAGTTGCTGCTGAGCATTCCTGACTACCATGATGGCATTGTTGATCCACTGAATGGTAACAAACACTGGTGATATTGCCCTCCTATAGTCTGTGAGGAGTTCTTTGGGCTTAGAGGTGTCAGATCTGGATTATTCTTTAAGCACCAACTAGCCAGCCTCGCAAATTCTGTCTCACCTTTCTTTGAGAAGAGCCCCATCATCATCAACGTACCATCTATGACCGTGATGATAGCGCTTTTAGAGGTGCAGTCAGATCTATAGAGTTTGCAAAGTAGGAGGCTCAAAAGACAGCTCGAGTGGAGCTCAGGATGAGCACACAACATGAATATTCTTGAATTAAGAATCAGTTGATCAGCAAAAACCCTAAAACTGCTAATGTAGTAAACATTCTCCCTGAAGCCTACAAAGCGCACTTTACATAGCGCCCCTGGCATTCAAGATGGCACACTGCAATGTGAATGGCTGTGATGGTGTCCTATGAAGATCTGTTATCTCAAACTGATATTAATCAAAAATGGGTACAGGGTATAGGGTGCATTGCATATGGAAAATATCCACAGCAAATCACTTGTTCTACATTTTGTCATTTTACAGCCTTATTCCAGAATGACTTTAATTCAATTTTCACCTCAATTCTACACACAAAACCATTGAGTCTTCACCAAATCTTCTCCCATTTACAAATGATGGAGGCCATTGTGCTCACTGGGATCTTCAATTAAGGTCCCAGTGAGCACAGTGGGAAAGGCTACTGAAATGTTCCTGTACCCTTTTCCAGATCTGTGCCTTGATACAAGCCTGTCTCAGAGGTCTACACACAAATTCTTGTACTTCATGACTTGGGTTGTGCTCTGACATGCACTGTCAACTATGGGACCTGATATAGAAAGGTGCACCTTTCCAATTTATGTCCAATCAACTGAATTTACCACAGGTGGACTCCAATCAAGTTGTAGAAACATCTGAACAGTTGAAACAGGATGCGCCTGAACTCTATTTTTTTTTTTTTTAACTTTTAATAAATCTGCAAAAACCTTTTCACTTTCTCATTATGGGGTACTGTGTTTAGAATTTTGAAGTAAACATTTTTTTCATGCATTCTGGAATAATATTGTAACCTGACAAAATGTAGAACAAGTGAAGCATTGTGAATACTTTCCAAATGCACAGTGTATTGCTGGACCAGCTTCTCAAAACATTGTATAATAGCTGGTATTAGCACAATCCACCAGTGCCAGTCCCAAATCTAGAATAGGTCCCACATATTTCTACCAAAAATAGATGGTCCATGCATGAAAACAGTGACGTCAGTGGCTGTGGGAGGGGTAATGCAAGAAATTCACTAATGAATGGCGGCTGTAGCCTACAGGCTTCTTCCACCATGTTTTAACAGCAGTTTCACTTAGAAAATAGCTCAACCTTAACCAAATTCAAATGTACAGAAAAACACATAAAAAATATCAGTTTTATGCCTCAATTTATACCAGCAAGATCTTCAAGTTGTTCCTGCTCAATCTTAGGCCAACATATTTTTACTTTACACATTATTTGATTAGAATCTGACTAATTCCTGCACCACTGCTACCTGTGACATGCATGTAGACTATAGGTGTAGCATTAAGTTGAAATGAATGACTGAATAAATAAATAAATACTATATTAATTGGCTCTTTCTGGCATTTTTTAAAATTTTTTAAAAGTTTGTGTTGTTGTTGTTGTTTTTTTTTTCAAAGAAAACAAAAAAATCCACGTCAGGGTAAGCAAATTTGATTTAAATACACGCACGCATACATACATACTGTACATCACGCACTTCATTTTTATGACCCACTTACTAAAGCCGATGGCGATATTTTGTTGGCCTGCATGTAAAGAGCCCGCCCCCCTACCAATTGAAATCTGCAGCGAGTTAGCCCTGTCAGTCAGTCAAGGGTTAAACGAGGAGTTTGCAGCAGTCTCTCCGTTCTGTCCAAGGCAGTCGGCGGAAAACATCACACTCTCGCTCATTTTTGCCAAGCTGTGTTTGATTCAACTCATTTCGCAGCCGAATCGCGAGGCATCACGGCAGAGGAAAAACCCGCTCTCTTTCCCAGAAGGCGTATTACTGCGCGTTTCCAAACACAGGTAGGTAAGTGTGGTGTTTAACTTTGTTTTCACATCCCTGCATGAATTAAGATTCCGCAGGAGGACTATCCTACAGGTAGTCGTTTAAAAAGCTGCGGGTATTTACAGGAATGTTAGCCTGAAATGTTTTATAAGCTTAATAAAAGCTAAAGGCAGGCAAGCCAAGGTTCAGTTTTAGTCAAAGGCTGAACTGTCTTACTTTAAATGTTCCAAATTTTGGAAGAAAACTTCGTCATAATGATTTTTTTCTCCCCTCTGCTGCCTACTTTGAGATTCTCTTTTGGGAGTCCAACACTCTCCCTAGGTTTCTTTGTGAACTCAATTTCTTTCAGCTTTAACCCTGACTTGGAAAATTGTATTTGAATCTTGAGAGATTTCACATAATTTTTATTAAGCATTCACAATTCTGTACCTTCTATCACTCCTGTGTCACTCCTGTGTTTGAGTGCAGAACCCTTTAGTATGAAAGTGCTCTGTGTTCAGTGCCGTGTGTTCACAGTGGGCCTGTGGTATTTCACCATCTCATACACTTGCAGACTGAGTCATTCCCTGATTTCCTCCAGATGTGCAGCAGTTTACGTTTCCTGACGGGGCCAGGATTGTGACATTTCTGCCTTTTGCAGTGCTGTGATTCTGCTGACAAACATAAATTTATGCTTGCTGTCTGAGGCTGAGTGTTTGTGTTGTGACACGGCTGGATGCTACACATCCCCCCCCCCCGCACTTATCTGCCAGTTTTTGTGGCTGTTAAAGAGCTGTTAAAATGTAATCCTTTAACTTAAATCTTCAATCAACTGCTGACATTTTACCCTTTTTATAAGACTAACTGCCAGGTACTGGGACTATGACACCACTCTTGTTAGAGTACAAGTGCAATCATGTGTCATGCTCGTGAAGGCTTAATGTGTTGTGCAGCAAGTGTTAAGGGTTTGCTCGTTCTATGCTTCCAAGCAGTGCAGGCCAAACAGCATGTCTGTCAGTGTGATTTGTGGTAACTTGCATGACAGCATGGTGAACCAAGCAAACAAGGGCTTACTGCGTTTGTTTCTCTGCCTCCAAAACTGGTACAGGCAGATGAAGTTTTGTTCTGGTTTTTATTGTTTGTGCAGTAGCACCTGTGGGACATCTCTCATGGTATCAAAATTAACTTGTTTTTTTTGTGTTTTCACACACACACACACACACACACACACACACACTTACTTTTGAGGGGAAATAAAATGATAATTTACAGAATTCTTATTTTTTGTCTCTCTGTTGTGGTCAGGTGTTAGGCAAAAAAAATAGTAAAAGCTGCCACAAAGCTAGATAAAGTTCTCTTATCTTATCCTGAATATCTCTCACTTCCTTTATGGCTTTTGGACAGTTGTCTGGTTAACTGGTTTGAGCCTAGGCAGTTATTTTTAGAGTAGATATTGTTCTTTACGTTTTTGCGTGATCTCATGGTGCAGCTCTGTTTTCGCTTGTCTTGCAGATGGTTTATTTCTTGTTATTCTGGAGTATCAGAAGGTAAAGTGCAACTTTTCCTTGAAAGTCAGAACTGTGTAGGTAAACTCTTGTTAAAGGCTCCAATTTCCGTTTGTTCTTGCTTAGCTCAACATCACGAGATCTTTTGCTTTTCTAGCGTAAGATTAACTTCAGGTAATTGCTCAACCTTTGCTCGTTTTCAACCTTTGGACTGTCCTACGGTACTCACAGGCTTTTTACCCTGATGTTCTAGCCAGTGTAGCCTCTGGAGCTGGACCTAAAGGTATGTACGTTCTACGCGTATAGAGCAGGAATCATTTGGGTTTTTTTGAGGGAGAAAGCTCTTTTCTGTGTGGTTGTTGTTGTGTGTTTGTTTTTGTTTTTTTTGTCAGAACACGCATGTGTCTAAGTGATAATGGATGTGTTCCAAGTAACAGCAGTTTGGTACATCTAACATGATAAGAGTAAGGTGATGCTGTGGCTTCATCTATAATCCTTTGTGATGTTGTTTGTGCCTCGTGTAGGAAATGCACACACTTGTGACAATGCCATGTAAAGGAATTCATTGATTTCATGTAGCATGGAAGGAAAAACTTTATTATTTTATTTTTTTTAAAAAGACATGTTTTCTATATGTTAATATTCTCTAAAGCAGTTTACCAGCATGATACTGCTAACTCAGAGTTGACTGGTATTATGATAGATATGCCAAGATGTCTCTTTAAGCAGGAGGTTCTTAAGCTTTAGGATAGTTTACTTCTTTATAGAGCCAATCAACTGACACAGCATGCTTTTAAAGCAGTGTTAAAGTGTCTCATGCCTTCTTATGAGCTGCCTATTTTATTGGTCATATGTTTTATGCTTCCCCTATGTGTCCCTCTCGTTCTAAATGTTTACTGTGTTGTTAAATACAATAATTGCTTATGACGTGGAAAAAATTGTTTCAGTGGCAGACTGTAGAACGGTGCAAGTCTCCCCCCACCCACTTGTTTGTTTGTTTTTTTTCCCCCTAAACAAACGGGTTTACCAGAAAAGACTGTAGTGTGCTTTATTTAACTTATCATCTTCTTTCTTTCCCTTTCTCAACACACACTTGGTGTCCAACTTCACTTTTTCTGCCTCAGAGCAACGCCAAGAGAAGCATGTGTGGGTGTTAAGTCATATGCTTGGACGACCTCATTGCCCCTGAATACGGAGCTGCTTTACCTCTGATTGCCCACTTGTCCACAGACTGACACCACACCATGTCTGCAGAGGTAGACAGAGCGCACGCATCTTCTGCCGATCCCAGCCTCACCTCTACAGTCTCAACCTCCAACACCCCTCCCAACTCTCCTATAACACAGGCATCCAAAGTCCCATTCAGGAAAGAGAAAAAGAAAGGTGAGTGGAGGAGAAAATGGTGCCGATACTCCTTTCATCAGCTATTAAGATGTGGCAGAGATTATAATTTTACTACTTTCTTTCTTTGTCTTTTTAATCCAGTAACAGAGAAGACGGATGAATACCTGCTGGGCAGGTTTCAAGGGGATGGTGTCAGGTACAAGGCCAAACTGATTGGCATTGATGATGTTCCAGAGGCTCGTGGAGACAAGATGTGCCAAGATTCCATGATGAAACTTAAGGTACAACTTGGGATCAGAAGCTCTTTTCTTCTATCACTGATTTTCATGAAGAAAATATCAAAACTGTTTCTTAAAGCTGTTAAGTAGAGCTTTGGTGTATATACATCTGTTTGGTGGGTATCATTTGCCTTCAATAGAGTAGTGTTTTTGTTTTTTCTCTCCAGGGTATGGCAGCAGCTGCTCGGTCGCAAGGCAAGCACAAGCAGAGGATCTGGGTCAACATTTCCATGTCAGGCATCAAGATCATTGATGAGAAATCGGGCGTGAGTTCTGATTACTATTGCAATATAATCTGGGATTCACAGAATTTATTTGCAGTGCTTTAAAAAAAAAAAAAAAAAAAAAAAAAACAAGCAAACAAAACCGAAAATCCTTGTCCACATTTCTCAGGTGATCGAACATGAGCATGTGGTGAATAAGATCTCCTTCATTGCCAGAGATGTAACGGATAACAGGGCTTTTGGATATGTGTGTGGAGCTGAAGGACAGCATCAGTTCTTTGCCATAAAGACTGCACAACAGGTAACACACAGAACTGCCATAGACAAAGTGTGTCAATCTGGTCCATTGGACAGGTTGGAAAATGTGAAGTAGAGCATAGACTTTGTTTTACTTTTCTTTTTCTTTTTTTTTTTTTTCTCCTTACAGATAATGACCACACACACATCCATTCATACCAAGCCAAAGTAATTAGGTACTAGATAAACAATTAAATGACAGGAAAGTTCCTGTTTTTCTAATTCTAACTAAAGAATTGTTTTTGCTTTTTAAAGCGGATCAACCATAGAGGAAAAAATAGTACATTTTCTGCAAATTAACACACACTTTGTTTTTTGTTTTTTTTTATGATTGTAGGACAGTCAAGGCAATGAGCTACCAGAACACTTTCTGTAATTTTACACATTAATTTGTTACAATTTGGGCCCAAAGAATCATCCTGATGGATTTCTATCATTTACTACAGTAGCATTTCCTTATCGTGTCAAACACCATAAATTTGTTATAATTGCACTTCATTTTTTCTTACACTAAGATATGAGGGATTAAATGTGTAGTTAAACTTCTGTACACTGACAGAAAGGGGAATTTCACTGGTCCGTATCACTTAAAATTAAAGGTTGCTGTTATGTGGCTCATGATATAAAATGCCATCCCTGCCATAGACTCTCCATTTTAATAAGAAGCCTAGGCACTACAGTGCCACCTACTGGCTTGTGAACTTTGTCTGTCAAACCTGAGTTTTAACATTATAGACAGAAGCGGCCATGTTTGTATGAATGAGTGCTTATTCATCTAAATATATTTGTTTGCTAGCTAATGCTAGCAAACAAATAAAATAGAATTTTACTTGCGTAAACTAAAGCATAAATTTTGGTCAGTATACACGTCATGTTGTTTTAGACAACCTTAAAGCATGGTTGAGAGGTCAAGTTGATGACTCAAATTTGCTCAGGGGAAAGCTTAACAGCTCGCTACCTAGTTGGGATGTAACTGTCAACCAGCCATGTGTCTAATAATGTATAACTTGATATCATAAAACGGCAGTTCACCCCTTTATGGTTGTCATGAAGGTAAAAGGTTTACTTAAGTAACTTTTTTTTGTTTTGGTATGTGGTTGTTTTAAAAAAAAAATAAAAATTTGTGTGTGTGTGTGTGTGTGTGTATTTTATTTCACTGAGAAGCTGGAGATTTTAACATTTGAGCCTACCTTCTTTTGATAACTGCTATAAGTGGTACTGCCACAGGCACCAAAGACAAACTGACTCCAGTTTCCAAAGATTTTTGGTCTTTGTTTCCATACAGGCAGAGCCACTGGTAATCGATTTGAAGGATCTATTCCAAGTCATCTTCAACCTGAGGAAGAAAGAGGCCGAGGGCACACAGAAGGTAATGGAAGCAGAAGCATTTAACTTCAGACTGGAAAAAATTTTCTCCAAGTGAATGGCAGCATTTTCTTTGTGAAAGAAAAACACTTTCATGTGGTCCTCTGGGAGTGCTGACAGGGCACACACTGTATGTACCGCTTGAAAGTCAACACTGCCTCTCTGTGTTCTTTCAGTGAATCACATCCTCAGCCATTTTTCATTTTAGTGATGAATGCGTCATTTCAATGGAAAGTCTGTTCGTTAACAGTATGCCTCTGTTTACAGGTTGAAAATGGCAGTGATGTAGTGGAGGTAAGCAATTAAGTTTTTTTTTTTTTTTTTTTTTTTTTTTTTTTTTTTTTCCTTAAAGCAGTTACTGACTTTTTTTTATTTTTATTTATTTTTGTACATTTTTACTTTCTGTCTCTAGAATGGAAATGCCTTGCTATCTATGGGCAATGACGTAAAATCAGCTCAAGTAAGAGTTATTGTAATGTGTCCATCTTAACAGTGAATGAAATGTTGGAGTGCTTTATTTTCTTAAATGGCATGTTTCTGTTTCATTTTCACATCCAGCCAGTAGAGCAGCATGACCTCTTTGGAGATATGTCAACCCCTCCAGACATTCAGGCTCCAAATGTAAGTATCACACCATGATGGTAAATATTTCTTTTAATATGGGAATTGTAATTGGTGAAGTGTATTATTACTGTATTTACACAATTGTGTACCTGCTAATTATTATCACTCTTATGTAATGAACGTATTTGTAAGAAATGACTCTATAGTAAAATCTCAACGCCCTCTGCGAACTCCATTCTGAAAAGACTTGTGAAGTCATCAGATTCTGTTCATTTTAAGAATCTATGAAGAGTCTTTTAGGAATTGAGTTTATGCTTTGTGTTTTACTAGTCTCGTTGTTGTTGTTAACTTTAAAACTGCTACAAGTAGAATCTGTTAGACTTAGAGTTGTGGCAAATCTTTTACGTCGGTGCTGCTGAAATGTCTCATTAACCTGAATTTATGGGTAAGTAGCAAGCGCCGGCTTTGACTTGTAGTCCAACTTGTTGTTCAGAGCAAGTAGGATTACAGTAAGTGAGTTAGAAGTGGACCCTAGACCTTCAAGTTGTCAGCATTAAATTGACAGTGACTCTTCATAATCTGCAAGTAGCAGTTTTAAAAAGGCATTTCTTTTTCACACCATGTGATTCATTGTTCATCTTGTTAACACATCATTACCTCCCTTCTGCAGAAATGATTTATCCTTTTCTCTTTTTCTCACTGTCCCCTCTCGTGTTAACCAGGACTCTAATGACATTCTCTTACTGGACTTTTCTGCTGAAGTTGACAGCAATCAAAATTGCATAAAGGGAAATTCCTTTGTAACTTCCTGTGCCCCTGACTATAGGGCATATCCCCAGACAGAGAATCCATTTTCCTCAACTTTTGGCTATTTCCCAACCCCAGACAGTGACCCTTTCAGAGATGACCCCCTTTCTAAATCACCCACTCTATTGGCAGCTGATAATGCACAGATTCCCGTCAACACCACCACCAATCACCTAAACGGCACTGTTGGCAGCACTAGTAAGACAATTATTAATGGTGGTGTAAATGGAGACTCTGAACATCTCAGTCAGCAAATAAATGGGTTATCCAGGGAAACCATGATCCTCGCGCTCAGTAACGGACAGTGGCCGCTGGGGGGGAAAATAACTCAGGGAAACACGACTACCATGATGGATGGAAATGAATCTGGACAAGTTCTCTCAAACAAAAATCCATTTTTTGACTCTTTGAAAACTTCCCCTGTCTCTAATGAAATGACCCATCGCCCAGAGCTGCCAGTGACTCATAGCAAGGATTCAGTTCTCATAAGCCCGCCTCCGCACAACTCTAAGTCTGGACGAGGTCGAAGGAGTGCAAAGGTGAAATAACACGGCTATGCCAATGGTAGTAGGCTTGCATGTGTTATGCGTTTTTAATAAAAAAGGTTTACTACACATTTGGAGCTAACATCTCCCTTGAGCTTTTGGGTTATGCATTGGTGTTCGACAGGATAAGGCACTGAGAATGCACTGGGTTAGGGACTTTAATTTTGGAACTCTGGTCATGGTCTTGTTGTTTGGATAACTTCTTTTCTTTATGCATGCACTGGTGTTCGCATGCTTCTCGAACTGGCTTGAATGACTTTAACAATCAGCTGCTCATAATCTATTTTCCTAATGTTCACGCTTCAGTGAAAAGAGCAGGGGTAAGTGGCAAAGCATGCAATCGTATGCTTAACTATAGTTAATTATTAGTTTCTCTTAAGCATTTGTTAAATCTTAACTGCCACATAGTTGTGACTTGCTAACAAAATGTGTTGCATTATTCATTTTATTATTTATTTGTTTTGTGACTAGTCTACATCAAGTGATCTGTTTGGAGCAGAACTGTTCGCTGCTTCCAGTCAGTCTGAGGGGTCATCTGCTCCAGACCTCTTCAACAGTACACCGGCAAACTCTGCTCCCTCTGCCATAGCTGCTCTGGGTAATACACAGGAGGGGGAATTTGTATTTCACACACCTCTTTGTTTTGGTTTTGGTTTTTTTTTTTTTTTTAAAACCTGTTTTGTGTCTAAACTTTTTTTTTTTTTTTCCTTTCTTCTTCTCTTTGATATATTTAGGGAATCTCCAGTTGGGTCCACCAGCTACCACAAGTGTCCCTGCTGTAACCATGTGGGGAGCCTCCAGTGCTGCACCCAACATGTTCCCCATGCCAGGAGGGACAGTTCCAGGGCCCAGGCTCGCCTTCCCACAGCCATCTGCCTTTGGTGGTCTACCCATACCACCAACAGGTTGGGGTCAGCAGATGCCACCACAGTTTGCTGCCGCTCCTCTCTCTCCACCCCACCTTTCTTGGGGTCAGCCTGCCTCTACCAATCCTTTCCAGCCTAATGCATTCCCAGGTATGGGTGATCCACAGGGTCCGTCACGCCCCCCTCCAAGAGCACCTGCTAAACAGGTCCCTCCGAAAGTAGAGAACAGTGCCTTCACAGCTTTGGATCCCCTCGGAGAGAAAGAGAAGAAGACTGGGAAAGACATGTTCAAGGACTTCCAGCTCGCCAAGCCTCCTGCCATCCCAGCCAGGAAAGTAGAGCTTGCAGCAGGGTCAGATCCAGATTCCAGTGGCAAACAACCGGGGGCATTTGATCAATACTTCTCCACTAAAGTGGGCCTCGTGCAGGATGCTGCAGATCACGATGACTTTGAAATCAATAAGATGCCGTCAATTGGTAATGCTAAACTAGCTGAAATGGCTTATGTCATAATCTGATGACTGTGACCTGTTGGTAACTGTGTCCTGTGTTTGTAATGTGCAAATTTAGATGCCTCTAAACCAGCTGCTGCTCCAGTTCCAGGGCTCTTGGATGTTGCCTTCTCTGCTCCCATCCAAAACAGTTCAGCACCACCCCAGGGATCAGAACTTGGTCAGGACATGTTTGACAAAGCATTTGGAGCCCCTGACTCCAGTCCATTTGGAGTGCCACCTGTAGCTATGGTACAGAGTTTTATTTATGACCACCTTTTACTTTATCATCCTAATCCCAATGATCCTTTTGATAACAAGGATATTGTTATACTTGAGTTTTTGTTTTTTTCCCTCAATTTTTTTTTTTTTTTTTTTTTTTTTTTTTTTAACAGAATACATCTGTCGGTCAGAGCTCTGGTTCAACAGCTGCCTTTGAGGATCCTTTTGGAAATCCTTTTGCTTGACCACAACTTTGTCCATAAGTAAGTTCATGTTTTTATGATGCTTCTCTGATTTCATTTAGAGTGAAGACATTTGTCACAGTTTTTCTCATTTGTCCTCATAGTTGGAGTAAATGGAACAAATGAAGATTTCCACTACCGTCATGATGTTTGGGAGAAGCTGCTCAGTGCACGACAATCCGGAAATGAACTATTATCCCAGACCCACCCTTCTATTAGATCTCACCTCTGATGGTGTTTTGTTTTCTGGGGGGGCGGGGGTCCTCCCTTTTCCAATCAGTAGTTCCCTCATTTTTGAAGACCACTGATCTACAAAGTAAATGTTATGTCAAAATCTGCTGAAGAAAGAGATGTGCTGTGTGAGAGAGGATGTCCAAAGTGGTTCATTGCTGATGCTGTCTTTGTTAAGGAAATAAAATGAATTATTCATCAAGTTGCAAGGTATTTGACTAATGTATTAATTTTTTTCCTTTGGTTCTGATAATGGTTTTTAAAATATCATTTTTAACAAACTGAAATTATATCTATAGGTAACTTTGATACATTTCTGCTACTTGCTGGTATTTCCTGTTTTGCAAGGCATATTTCCTGTATAGGGGAACATCTACATTCATCAGGCAGAGCTGTGCAGTTGTTTTGCATTTTAGATCCAGAATTCACTGATCCTATCGCCAGTCAAAGGTCTGCTTAAGGTGCATTCAGTTAAAATTTTACTGCAGTCATAGAAATCCTAAATGAGGATGAAAGTTGCACTGCTCACTATCATCTGGTGACTATAGCAAAATAAAGTATGTATTTTCTTTTCTTCTTTTCTTCTTCTTTTTTTTTTTTTTAAAAGGATAGATTTCCTAAGTGGGGCAAATTACTGTAATACCAGTCGCAGGGTGATCTATTAACAGCGTGAACCACTGAATATTAACCAGAATTCTGTCAAGAGCAGCACAAATTGGTATCTCAAAAACCAGCAAACCCGATGAGGGACAGAATGATGTTGGTCATCTAACCAAAATAACAGTGCAAGCTCAGGTTTTTGCTTCTCTCCCAGCCGCAAGGGGGCCACAAGCCAGTGTACTCTTAGTGCCAGTGTCCCAGTCCCAAGCCCAGATAATTGGTGAGGGCTGCATCAGTTAGGGAATCGAGCATGAAGTCATTGCCAAAGCAAACATCAGGAAGGAGATCTTCATACTAGATCAGTAATGGCCTGGGTTAACAGTGACTCAATCTGGTACTGTTAGCCAGCTGTGTGTTAGTGGAAACTGTGCTACTGTTGGCTGGAAGATGAGAGAGGGTGTGTTAGGAAATGCCAAGATGGAAGGCAAAGCCAGGAGTATTAGAGGTGGATTCAAACTGTGTTTGATGTATTCTCTGGAAAGAGAACAAGAAAACTTAGTGGTGGAGTGGGGAAGTACAGGAAAGTATTCAAAAGAAGAGGTTGACAAAGAAAAAGGGAGTCAGGTAGATGAAGAAAGTAGACAAGGGTATTCGGACTAGGAACTCCTGTACTAGGTGTACAGCAAAGAAAGGAGTAGAAATATTCATAATGACTTGTATGTAAGGTTGGACACTTACAAAGGAGTGAAAGGACTTGAATTGACTGGCTAGGCAGAGGTTGAGCTGGAGAGGATTTGCAGCGGGTTAGGGGGATTAGGGTAGCAATGGAAATGTACTAACCAGTAACGAGAGAAGATTTAGAAGAGTACTTTGAGGCACAGATAAACAAAGAAAATGGGAGGAAGACAGGAAGTACAGAAGATTAGTGGGGAGTACGTGAGGGCAGCTATGAAGTGGATGAAGATTTGGAAGGCAGGTGGCCCAGATGACCTACCTGTGGAAGTATAGAGATGCCAATTTGAGAGAACTGTGGACTCATTGAATAAATTGTTTTACACAATCCTGAAGAGTGAGAGGAAGTGTACTGGTACAAGTTTTAACTTTTGAAAAAGTGTGATGTACAGAGCTGTAGCATCTACAGAAGGTAATGTTAATAGGTCATAAAATAAAGCTTTGGAAAAGAATTGTTAAAAAGAGAGTTGACAATCAGCAAGCAGTGGTATGCCATCATGCCGAGAAAGAGGGTTACAGCTTTCAGAGTGTTGATAGTGAAGGTCAGAAGATGTTGCACTGTGTCCTTGTAGGTCTAGAGAAAGCACTGTGGTGTTTCACTTCTACATAAGGAAGTGAAGGGAAGTTGGTGCAGGAGATGTATGAGGACAGAGGTGAGGTGTGCAGCTGGAGTGACAGATGCATTCAAAGTTGGGGGGTTTAAATTAGGGATCCACTCTGAGCCCCTTTTTGTTTGCAGTGGTGATGGACAGGCTGACAGATGAGTTCAGGCAGGAGTTTCTGTGGATTATAATGTTTGCAGACGACATTGTGCTCTATATTGATAGCAGGTGGAAGGGAGAGATGGAGGCAGGGCTGGACTGGGACAAAAAAAAATGGCCCTGACATTTTTGGTCCATGTGGCTAAAGCTAAAGCTACACTTTAGCTATTAGCACTAAGCAATGACTCATGGTCAAAGTAGCCATGCTTTACCTGAATTTCTGAAGCTCTCTCCTCCTAATTATGTCACTCCTTCTATTTTCTTTCCACTTTAATTTAACCTTCCTGGGTGGAGGTATAGAATGAAAGTCAGAAGGTGAAGCTCCAAGGAGGGGAGGTAGTGAAGGTAGATGAGTTTAAATACTTAGGGTCAAGCATGCAAAGCAAAAAATAAATAAAAATTGCTTGTACTCATGCTGCCCCGACGTCATGCCAGCACATATTGTGAATGGCATAGGCACCGATCGGTTTTCTATTGCCCATTTGCTGGGAGTAAGGGCGCCCTCCGTTTGCGAGGTGCGCCTGCTGCTTGCGGCACA